CCCCCCCCCTTATATATATATTGTTCAAAAGCTTGACTTTCATGAAACATAGCCAACTGAATTATAATTAAGTGAAATTAAATAGGCATATTTAATAAAAGAAACAATGTTTGAAAGGGTTAAATCATAAGAGCTGGAATTTTCAAAGTTGATATTGAGTTTAAAGGTTGACTTATTAGTTTTAGTAAAAATGACTTATTTATTTAGGGTTTGTTTGGTTCCTAGTTAGAACCGGAATCAGAACGATCTATTTCCATAACTTATTTGGTTGGCATAAAAATTGGAATCAAAATTGGAATAAACTGGAATCCGATTCCATCCAACCAAATAATTGGAATCAGAATGACCCATTCCAATTCCAATTCCAGACCCCTATTACTGTGAATCAAACAGGTCCTTAAAAATGGTGAAGCAAATGCAAAAGGATATATGAAGACTCTGCAATCTTAAGGGGAACTAACTCGATAAACGAGATCAAACATGGGCATCAACTGTTGATGAATACAATTGGAGTAAGGGAGGGAGGGAGAGAGGGTACTGTGAATATGAAGTGGTATCCCATTACCATTTCAAGAACAGATCGTAGAAAAACAATTATTTTCTACATCATTTTCAAGTAACCGGGCTTGGTGGGTAGAAATTCAGGTGGGTTGGGTTGGGCTCGGATTGGGACCACCCAAAGTTGCACCCCTAATATGCTTAAAGACAAAGCATCTTAAGAGGACTCTAGATCTGCTATAAACAATAAGACATGCAGAACTGGTTACGTAACTTTGGCATTCCTTATTTTAATGACTTATCTCCGTTTTGTACTTAAGGCTCAGTTTGGAAGGAGTACAAATGCAAATATGTAGAGTGTAAAGCCTTATATTTTGTATTATTTTATATGTATTTACACTGTACATATTTACATTTGTACTTCTTCTAAATTAAGCCTAAAATAAGGAATGCCAAATGCAGCCTTACTCGGCTTTGGATAGTCTGGTACCTGATAGGCTTGTAGCCTTGTAGGTAGCATTGTGGGTAATAGCAGATCCAAAAGCTTTCTTCTGACTTCTGAGTGGATTATAGCCTGTACACGCCTTGTTAATCGAAGATCTTGAGTCACTTATGAGGGCACCTTATTTCTGTTATGATGAGGATGCCCTCTGGTAATTGACAAATACGGAAGTGCTAAATCACCAAGCTGAGCAGGGTTTAAGTTTTTAAGATGAATCTAATATGGTCATGTTTAGGAGTGCTTAAAAATAAGTGTTTATTTAGGCAATGATCATATTATTAAGTACTTATTAGTATTTGGGAAATAAATTTGATATAAGTGCTTATTTTAAAAATAAGGGATTAATTTTTTAAGTCCAAATTTCCAGTTTTTTAAGTGCTCATACAATAAGCACTTATTCAATTTTTTCTCTGTCATAATTGTCCCCAATGAATTTTTAGAATACCAATTTTACAAAGGCACTTTTATAAAAGTAATTTTATGAAAATTACATTTGTGCAAGTAAGTACTTTATAAAAGTATTTTTATAAAAGCACTTTTACGAAAGTACTTTTGTAAATGTACTTTTACGAAAAAACTTTTATGAAAGCACTTTTATAAAAGAACTTTTACGAAAGTACTTTTATAAAAGTACATTTACAAAAGCACTTTCATGGAAGTACTTTTATGAAAGCATTTTTATGAAAGTAATTTTAGAAAAGCACTTTTGTAAAAACACTTTAAGGAAGTGATTTTATAAAAGAACTTTTACAAAAGCACTTTTATAAAAGTATTTTACGGAAGTGCTTTTATCAATGTACTTTTATGAAAGTACTTTTGTAAAAGTACTTTTATAAAAGCACTTCTATCAAAATACTTTTATCCATTCACTTTACATTGGATGTTTTGAAAATTTGAAAGAAAATAAAGGACAAAAGAGTCATAATTTCTTATTTAAGTGCTTATTGGAGAAAAGGACCACCAAACACCCAAAATATAAAATAAGTGCTTATTTTTTAAAACAACCACTTGAAAAAGATGGGTAACAAATGCAAATAAGTGCTTATTCGCATAAGCACTTGTTCAATAAGCACTTATTTTTAACATAAGCACTCCCAAACATGGCCTAAGCCCAAT